CAGAACTCAAGCGATCATTTCACGATGGCGGACACTCACATCCCATGTGTTTGGCAAACTCTCCTGCAGCTGCATATAAGATACTTTGGATTGACCAAGAGATTGAGAATGGACCTATTCTATACCTCCAATATCTTACCATTAGCCCACTAATGGATATCTCGATGTTGTTTATTCATGTGCTGGACACTGGACTTGACTTTTGACAAGGATCCTCCGAGGGTCTTCCGGAACACAGACTATCGAGTTCTTCAAAGGTCGTTGATAAGCCACGTCCAGACTTCATTTGTTTGTGAGTGAGATGTATAGTAGAGCCAAGATGACAAGCCTAATCGCAGTTGTAGCGAGGATTCCGGGAGGAATTAAGAATATTCGCCAATGATTTATTTCAGTAAAAAAAGCTTCGAGAAATGCTCATGTGGGTCCCGATTCTACCTTTTGCATATACCAATTTCAATACTTTACACTGATCTCTCACCGCAAGTTCAGAACTTGCGGTGGTATAAAAGGATCAGGAGTGATCGTTCAAAGCATATCTGCGATCTCATCGCTGGGATTTAGGGTGAAGATTACTTCCTCCTATCTCAGATCGCCATCCTTATAGCAGGACTATCTCGAAGGCTGGAGTACATCTTAGATATCAGACCGAGTGCACCCTGCTCTCGATTTCTCCTGTAAAAAAATATTTTCTTTCTCGAAGTTTCTGAATCCTCAGTTTTACGATGGGTTTCAGCTTGAGGCAACGATTTCTGATCCATATTCTTGTCATCTCACTTATAGCATCTAGCATCATCAATGTCGCCCAGGGACAATCCACAGCAGACGAGTACCTCACTCCGCACAATGATGCCCGAGCTGGGCTGAATCAAGGCATACCGAGCCTGTCCTGGGACACCACGCTGGAATCGTATGCTACTGACTGGGCCGCCACCAGAGCAGCTGCTGGTGACGACTGCGCTCTCATACACTCGGGAGGACCTTACGGGGAGAACATCTACTGGTCCAGTGGACCGAGCACCCCAGCGGATGCAGTGCAGGCCTGGGTCAGCGAGGAGGCATATTACGACTACGCAACAAATTCGTGCTCGGCCCCAGAGGGCGAGTCATGCGGTCATTACACGCAGGTCCCATGCAAATTCTTGTCGTGCTTCTCTTGCCTGGTGTGCGCGAAGTTGTGTTTCCATGGCTTAAGCCGTAGTTTGAATTTCAGAGATTTATAGATCTTGCGAACTAACCACGAGCCCAGGACCTGTATCAGCATAAAGCTGTTCCAACAGACGTAAGAAAGATTAGGGGTATGGGACGAGAAACTGGAAGTCAATTTGTGTGGCTGTTTTTTCCACGGTCGGGCGTGCAGTCGATGTGATGAGCCTCGCGGGTTTTGACACGGGTCGCGCTCTTTGCAACAGGTCGTGTGGAGGAACACAGCGGCGCTGGGATGCGGGTCGGCCACTTGTCCCTCTGGTGCCTTGTTCGTCGTTTGCAGCTACGACCCCCCGGGAAACGTTGTCGGTCAGCTTCCTTACTAGACTTCCTCTACGAATAGCTGCAGCCGTCGAGCGACTCCGAGTTTCATCTTTGCTGAAGTGGTGGACATATACGACTGTAATCTCAATACATTCAGCACATGCACATCAGTGGGCAGGGATGAGAACTTCATAGGAGGGCACTCCATCGCTGACTGCCGTGAGGATGACAGAGAGTGTTGTGAGAATCGTGTCTCGGAATACAGCGCATTGTAGTTGCTTCTATTCTGGCATAGTACTGACTGATATACTGTAGATGAGATTTTAAGTTGTGATAAATTAGTACAACCACTTTCAAGCATAATTCGAACCCCTGGTAGGGCATCGTGGTTGTAGCTTGTTATCAGTCGTTGCGAGTAGCTTGAAGCTGGGTAAGAGCAAACGTCGTCTCTCTTGATAACTGACTGGATTTCAGAAAGCTCAATCGTAATAAAAGTATTGGAGGAGTTGCGATATATGTGAATCTATTGTTTGGAAATCTGTATTGTTCTTAATTATAGAAGAAGTGCATGGCGACCTTAAAATCTCTGGCAGGAAAATCATTTTTCAACTTAAACATAGACTTTCAGTCGAAAACGGATAAAGACAGGAGACTCAGTCATCTCACAATTGCAGCGTTGATGCTCTCAGACATCAGCTGTTTGTAGACGTCATCAACGTGTGCATGCACGCCCCCTTATACGATCAACTTTCATGCTTCCTGCTCTACTATGTCTTTAGTGCTGGAGCCACACCAATCCACGATCTCCTTACAATGGTTTCATACGTTTTAGAGCTATCACGATTGTGGCGCGCTAGACCAATTTATTGAAGACTACTGAATGGAAGGTATGAATCCAAAGTCCAAGTGTGGCCTAATAAAGAATGTGCACTGGTACCTGAGAGGGACGTCATCCGAGAAGGCTCTTGGATGAATAAAATATATCGCATAATCTGTGAATGATAATCATCACTCACAACGTAAGCTGATATTTGATACTCGTAGCTGCTCGAGCATTAGAATTTAAAACATGGTGGTAGGCGCAGCAAATTTCTTGATTTGGGCAAAGGGCCTACAAGACATGCAAATACAATTATGCTTAAAAGATACCTGCAAGGGAGAACTGACACGTTAGTTTTCTTTAACGTATAGCGAGAAGAGGAGGAAGGAGTACTAGGACCTCCATATCCACATGTGGAGAGTAGGCAGATAATATTTGGGTTCCGGATACGCCCGCTTGACCATCAACTGGCAAGAGAGAATTTATGAGATTCTTAGAGTACTTTTGTTCAATGGCTACCGTCTGAGGACCAGGAGGTGGCTTCTTGAACCAAGGGATCGGCCTCTTTGTGTTTGTGCTTATGTCTTAGCGTCGGCTCCAACCACTCGCACACAGACTTGTCCAGGCTGGCTTGAACTATTACCCGATGCACACGAAGCATGTTACCATCCAGTGTACACAAATCACACATACACAGACCGCGTCCAGCTATCTTCTGGTTGCAGAATCTGAATGACTCCATGGTTGGGCGAACGATGACAAACCCAAAGCGAAGTTTGCTGTTTATTTTTGCCACTATTTTGAAGTAGAATACTGATGAGTAGAGCTAACATTAGTGATAGAGACCTCGCAACTCATGCTCTTCGTAATTGTATCCTCTTGGAATAACGTGAATCTCGCAAAAGCTTATTGACACATTTGCATACATCATCAGTATCTCGACGCCTTAGCTCACAGCATCCAGACTTGCAATTGAAGCAATTAGAACTAGTGCTAGTGACAGCCATGATGAAAAAGGACTATTGCTCGACCCCATTGTTCTCAGTTGGGTGAGGATGCACGACTGTCATACACTGGATGTTGATATTTTTGACACGTACCTGATTTACAGATTGGCAACAAGATTGGCTTGTTGATAAAGTGAGCTTTAAACAACGATAGAGCTTACCAATGGATGTTATATCGTTGAAAAGATACTGATTCATCAACAGCTCGCGTCCTTATAGCTGTCACACGTGGCTTCAGACGGAAATCCTTCCATATCTCAGCTCCAGCGAAGAAGAATTATTTATATTCGAAATTCTTCCTAAGTTAAAATTGTAACATCTCATCGTAGCACCTCGTCTCAGAACCGTTTTTATGGTCCATCGGCTTAGACGGTTGGACTCCAGATCTCGCCCATGAAAGACACGTTGAGGCTAGTAGCTGGGAAACAGATGCAAACGCATGTCTGTTTATCTTCGATGGCGAGCTTGAATAGGTCGAATTTACGGCTTCACTGGACTTATTGATCGCGCTACAACGTATATTACATTTGAAATGTTTTGAAAGAATGAGAACATGAAGTAGATCGTTTTACTTCCCAAGTGAAGTCAGCTGCTGGTATCTCGTGGGTCGAACGTCGATAGGAGGACGAGGTCCTTGTCTGGATTCACCAAGAGTGTACATTGGCATGCACCTCTTGTCATGCAGACGAATCCAAGATGGATAACAGTTATTCGAGTTGAACAGCTTACATTTTTCACCGTTCTCGCCATGCCTGTTGCACAACAGATTTTGCTCCATGAGCTAGATTCCTTTCAGGAGGATAGTACCCCAGGGTTTACTACTGCCCTTCATGAGTCGAATCCCTTTAATATGATGATTCCTTTAAATATAGGAATCGAAATATCTGATTTATAGCTGTATTTCTGTAACAATGTTTTAGCACTTTACCCCTTTCTGAGGTTATTAACATTCGTTTACAGAACCAGATGAAAACGGTGAAAACAAAGGTTCAAATGACAACCACCAAAAATTGGCATTCCCATGATAAACTAGATCTTGATAAAAAACGAGGATATCCATTGGTGAATTTTTCAAACCTTTAGAGATATATATCTGCTAAACCCAAATGAAGTGACAGTCACTTAAGCACCATAAAATATTGAATCAATGAGTGATAGCGATAGAAGTTTCTTCCATCTGGAGAGTGAATGAAAGCTATTTCTTTTATATCTTCAAGTCTAATGTGTACAAGGATGATAGATATCAATACATCAGATCTTTGCGAGATTTTTTGCATAACAATTTCAATGCCTGGATAACGTCATTTCTCAAATTTAAGTCCCACCACATCCATGTTTTGATATGTACATGCCCCAGATATTCATCAAGATCCTTCGGAGTGACTGGCCAGAAGTAGTCAGTGGTTTGAGTATGGTGAGTAGAGTCTCCATAAACAGAGGAGATTATACTTTTTCTTTTCCACAAAAGCAAGCAATGGACGTCGTCAGGTCGAAATTCATCAGCGTCTTCTCATGTTAAAACATAACAAGAGGTTTAGTTAATATATTTTGTGCAACATCCTCGCACTTCTTCCTCACACTATGAGTATACGAACATCATATTCCGGACTGTGATCTTAATAATCAGCCCCCCCATGACATCAGATGTATACACTCCTTGTATATAAGTCACGACCAACACAGTGTATTGCCATTCACATTAAAAACGCTTCTGAACTTTATTTTGATATCCTTCACCATTACACTGGATAAAAACTACGGGCCCGCCTACATGCACGTACACACGCGGTATAGAACATCACCGTTTCATACAAAAGCAGTGCAAGGCTCAAAGAGTGTCAAGGGCAAAACACGACCTCATAATCGGAGCCAGTCGGACACGTGAACGTAGAGGTGGCATCGTCCAAGTTGCAGCTGTAAGCTTGGGGACATGCTGCTTGGAACTGCCTCGTGCCGGCTGTCGGTCCCAGCCCGGCAGTTCCATCAGGTATTGACGCAAGAAAGGGCACCAGTGGGTAGTGTCTGTAGAACGTTGTTGGGCTGACAGAAAAAACTGTCATTCAAACGGGACGGTCCATGGGTCAAGAACGATTTGATAGAATTCGTCATTGCAACAACAACCAAGCTGCTCTACTAGGGATGGAATTCCGACCACGAGAGATCGATCAAAATAGACGAGGTTACCTGATGTCGCCGATGGAACAGGTTATGGAGCTGCAGCCCGTGGGCGCATTGATGGACATGGGAATGGTGTACGCATTCTGCATGGGGTTCGAGGGACCAGCAGTTAGTATAAATAGTAGGTTGATGACAGCAGTATCTGAGGTTGCAGCACACAAATCTGCTCTTCGTAGATCTGACTATCTGGCTCATATCCGCACCCCAAAACAAAGATCAAACAAATCATCAGCACTGATGAAACAAGAGATGACTGCAGTCAAATCTTACAGCAGATGCAAATTTCGGTGCACTGATATCACTGAACTCAACGAAGATAAATAGAAACTTTGACGATCCAACACCATCGTCCGGCCTTTCGCAAAGGGAAGAAATACTTACAACGCTACTCAAGTCGTAGAAGTCTTGATTGCCAGAGCCAGGGATTGTGAACTCAGCTAAGTTGGCTAAGTTTCTATCCGTAGCCGCGTAAGGAGTCCCTATGACTGCACATTGTCCCGTCACGGAAGCATACACAACAGCAGATGGCCAGCTACAAGCCGTGACCAGATCGATAGCTTGTGAGGTTCCGGCACTCAGATCCCACTGATCAATGTTCTGCTGCCAGGTTTGAGAACATGCTGTCACCATGTAGTTGCAGTTGTTACTGATCGTGATTACACAACCTCCATGGGCAATAATGAGTCAAGCAGTGAGTTTTCCTGGGCACGTCATTCGCAGCTCCGTTCCTTGATATAGAGCCGGAGGCATCTGCCGTGTGTCAAGTACTCAGCCATTCTCACAAGTTAAAAACGTACACGAAGACCTGAAGGATAAGAAAGAGGCTCTCGCTTGCAGTCTCACCGTATACGATTTCTCCGGATATTGCAGAAAGGAAGAAGAACCGTAGTGCTAAGCTTGAAGTCGCTCCTTTATACCTGTAGCCCGAGGCTTCACACCAAAATCTCCTCATCTAAACGGCACAAAGAATTGAATATGAAAATTCCTTGTGAAAACGAATCGTAACAGCTCGTTTCAGAACTTTTTTAATGGTTTGAGTCCAATTCTCGCTCCAGGAATGATAAGTTGAGGCAATCAGATATGTTTTTGTGTTCGATGGTGAGCTGGGTCTAATACTGTTCACTGAAAGTATTGGTCGTGGTTAAGACAGACATGACATTTCAAATGTTTTGGAATTCGATGGTTGTACTTCCAAAAAGAAGTCATCTGAAATGTATTCCGCTGTTGAGTATCTCATGGGTACATAATCGGTAGGCAGACAAGGTCCGTGTCTGGATTCAGCCAGAGGATACATTGTCATGCACACCTTGTTAAACAGACGATTCGAAGTCAACGGTAAATAACACAGATTCGAATAATGCAGCTCACATTCTTCACCGTTCTTGCCATGCCGTTGCACCACAGATCTGTCGTGACATTCCTAAGTACGGGATCGAAATATTTACTCGAGACATTGCCATGACATGCTTCTGCTTGGTCACAAACTCCCAGATCGAGCTTCCGGGGGCTTGATTGCAACAAAGACAAGTTGTAAGTAGATGAAAACTCATTTTGAACAGATAATCGTTCCAAATCCGATGTTCTATTTCTTTTTCTCTATGACTCGGATGGTCCCCTCTGCAAACGCACACACAGACCTGTGAATGCGATCATAATATCTGAACCTTTTCATCCAGTTTCAAACCAAAATTTATCGTGGAATTGGAACTTATACGATATGAAAATGATAATAATAAAAACTTGTGATTTTTTTAAATTAATTATGATATTACATATCAATTTATTTATTTATAAAAAGTTATCTTTTAACTCATGATAAATATTTATTATGTATTAAAAAATAACTTTTTGTAAATAATTTTGACTCTGGAAACTATATAAAATTAATAAAAAATACATTTTTACTTTTTAAAAAATATTTTATATTAATATTTGATAATTTCTTATTATTTATGTCGAAAAGTTATCAATTATTTTTTTCTTCTAAAATTACTATTTTAGAGCAGATTCTCAAAATAATACATAACGATATGTAAGTATCATTATTTTACTCTTTCATTTATTCTAGAAAATTTATATATTTATATATAATTAGAATAAAAATCAAAATTCTGAAGTTTTTGTTATTTTCAAAAAGTGTTAATTTTCCATGCAATTCTTCAATAACTAAGAACAATACAGATTTCCACACAAAAGATTCACATATATCTAAACTCTTCATCCGATATCTGTATTACGATTGAGTTTTCTGAAATCCACCGAGCTATCAAAAGAGACTACGTTTGCTCTTTCCCAGCCTCAAGCTACTCGCCCTAACAAGCTACAACCACGATGCCCTACCAGGGATTCGAGTTCTGCTTAAAAGTGGTTGCACTAATTTATCACAACTTAAAATCTCATCTACAATATATCAGTCAGTATTATGCCAGCATAGAAGCAATTATTCAGAGACACGATTCTCACTACACTCTATGTCATCCTCACGTCAGGGAGCGATGGAGTGCCTTCATATGAAATTCTCATCCCTGCCCACTGATGTGCATGTGCTGAATGTACTGAGATTACAGTCGTAGATGTCCACCACTTCAGCAAAGATGAAACTCCGGAGTCGCTCGACGGCCGCAGCTATTCGTAGAGGAAGTCTAGTAAGGAAACTGACCGACAACGTTTCCCGGGGGGTCGTAGCTGCAAACGACGAACAAGGCACCAGAGGGACAAGTGGCCGACCCGCATCCCAGCGCCGCTGTGTCCCTCCACACGACCTGTTGCAAAGAGCGCGACCCGTGTCAAAACCCGCGAGGCTCATCACATCGACTGCACGCCCGACCGTGGAAAAAACAGCCACACAAATTGACTTCCAGTTTCTCGTCCCATACCCCTAATCTTTCTTACGTCTGTTGGAACAGCTTTATGCTGATACAGGTCCTGGGCTCGTGGTTAGTTCGCAAGATCTATAAATCTCTGAAATTCAAACTACGGCGGAAGGCCATGGAAACACAAATTCGCGCACACCAGGCAAGAGAAGCACGACAAGAATTTGCTTGGGACCTGCGTGTAATGACCGCATGACTCGCCCTCTGGGGCCGAGCACGAATTTGTTGCGTAGTCGTAATATGCCTCCTCGCTGACCCAGGCCTGCACTGCATCCGCTGGGGTGCTCGGTCCACTGGACCAGTAGATGTTCTCCCCGTAAGGTCCTCCAGAGTGTATGAGAGCGCAGTCGTCACCAGCAGCTGCTCTGGTGGCGGCCCAGTCAGTAGCATACGATTCCAGCGTGGTGTCCCAGGACAGGCTCGGTATGCCTTGATTCAGCCCAGCTCGGGCATCATTGTGCGGAGTGAGGTACTCGTCTGCTATGGATTGTCCCTGGGCGACATTGATGATGCTAGACGCTGTAAGTGAGATGACAAGAATATGAATCAGAAATCGTGGCCTCAAGCTGAAACCCATCGTAAAACTGAGGATCCAGAAACTTCGAGAAAGAAAAATGTTTTTGTATAGGAGAATTCGAGAGCAGAGTGCACTCGGTCTGATATCTTAGATGTACTCCAGCCTTCGAGATAGTCCTGCTATAAGGATGGCGATCTGAGATAGGAGGAAGTAATCTTCACCCTAAATCCCAGCGATGAGATCGCAGATATGCTTTGAACGATCACTCCTGATCCTTTTATACCACCGAAAGTTCTGAACTTGCGTGAGAGATCAGTGTAAAGTATTGAAATTGGTATATGCAACAGGTAGAATCGGGACCCACATGAGCATTGCTCGAAGCCTTTTTTAATGAAATAAATCATTGGCGAGCATTCTTAATTCCTCCCGGAATCCTCGCTACAACTGCGATTAGGCTTGTCATCTGGGCTCTACTATACATCTCACTCACAAACAAATGCATTCTGGACGCGGCTTATCGACGACCTTTGAAGAACTCGATAGTCTGTGATCTGGAAGACCCTCGGAGGATCCTTGTCAAAAGTCAAGTCCAGTGTCCAGCACATGAATAAACAATATCGAGATATCCACTAGTGGGCTGACGTTAAGAAATTGGAGGACTAAAATAGGTCCATTCCCAATCCCTTGGTCAATCCAGAGTATCCTATATGCAGCTGCAGGAGAGTTTGCCAAACACATAGGACGTGCGTGTCCGCTATCGTGAAATGATCGCTTGAGTTCTTGAAATGATCTTCTCTGATGATCTGAGTCATTCTTTACTTCAGATAGCTGCAACCTAGAAAGACCATGTGGATCTCGATGCAGTTTATTGCATCGAGGTCATGCAGTTCAATGCCTTGAACTGGCTGTTCTTCTTCAACGTTATATAGAGAAATGAAATTCCTTCCTGTGGTAACACACTTTTTGTTTTTTTTGCAGAATTTAAACAATTTTAGAAAACTAGTACCGAAGCAGTGTTTGTAGTTAGCAAAGGGTACGTTAAATAGAGTGAATTGATGAGATCATCACAAGGTCACGAAGAATCGCGTAGTCGGATGTACCAACGCCAATGTCTTCGGCGCCTTCGGCAAAAGCTCCTTTTCTGAGGTGTCTCTACTCACGCGCTTCCAGCGGTTAAGGAAGCTACGCTTCCGGCGCAGACACCTCAGGAGGAGGTTTTGCTAAAGACGTCAGAAGAAGGGCCCGGACCTCTGAAGGCTTCCGACCATGAGTGCGCCTTCGGCGATGCGCCGCTAGCGCGGAAAGGGAAAACCTTCATAACGATCGGAATACACAATAGATCCAGTTGGTTGAAGTTGCATTAGAAAGAGCTCGGGACGCTCGTTCTAACGAGCCCAAGAGCATCGGAGATGGATCAGGGACGGAGAAGTTATGAGCGTCGGAAAACTCGTAGCCGGACATGCGCCGTTCGCGCTAGGGTTCACAGCCGGAAAGGACTCCCGTACGCCCTCGGAGATGCGCCTTCGGCGGAATCGCGCGCTCATGGGAGGAAACCAACTCAGAGTCGGAAGCGCCTTTGGCGGCTGCTCATGGAAGGAAAGCGCCGGTCGGATGTACGCCTCCGACGTGGCGTTGATGGCCGGATGCGCTGGCATGATTTGCGCTGGCGGATATGCGCCGTCAACAATGGACGAGGCATAAAGGACAAAATAAGCGGTACGAATACGCGCCGGCGTAATTCGCGCCGACTGGATGTGCGCCTCCAGCAAGGCGCCGATGGATAAGGAACACGCCAGAGGCGACACGCCTCCGGTGATGGACGGGTTAGGGAAAGACAACATAGCCGACGTATACCCTGCGGCGGACTCGAGTCCGGAAGGCGGCGGCGGCGGGAGAATTCAACATTCACGCATGCGAATGCGCGCAGTGCGGAGACGTGAGTTCGCGCATGCAAAGGGCGAACCGTTAGGCCGTATAGCCGGCTGCGTACGTTGTAACCAGTAAGAACGTTGGACGTTCTTGAAATCGGAGAAGAAAAGACTGCGCTCCAGTCTCATTCTCTCATTCTTGATTTTGCGAGTTCCAGCTTCCAAGATTACACGCAAGGGCGGAGAGACCTGCAGTGAGAGGAAAGAGTGCGGAGACGAGTGGCGCGAGGATCTTGACAGACCTTGGAGAGAATTGCGAGTAGTGAACTTGAGCGTGAGCGAAGAGAGAGTGAGCAGTCAGTGCTTGAGCGGCCGACGCGTAGTGGCGATTGTGAGCGAGCGAGCGAAAGGGAGAACGTTTGTGTGTGCAGGTAACGCAATGTCAAAGGTTATCCAGCTGCGAGTGTCTCCACTCAGGGTGCCGCAAATCGGTCTACGCGCATTTCAAGATGTGCTGCTGGGGCTGAAGCTCGATTTCCTCCTGTGGGGGTGGAACTGGACATGTCCGGAGATGGTGCGCGAGTATCTGCAGGAGAGACACAAGCCCTCACGCGGATTCCGTCCACATCCAGAAAGATGGGACATTTGTAACTGGGCGCAGGTGTTGGGCAGGTGTGCCGGCGAGGAAGGGGATCTCCTCTTCGAGGCCGATAGCGTGAAGGTGTCCCAGGAGGAAGAAATCTCCTACAATGAGCTCTTCAAAGTTGCCAGGCATCCCAAGAACGGTTTCCGGACACGGGATTACAAAGATCGATTGCGGAGAAATGTCGCGACTGCATTGCTACAGATATTGCAGCCGACCAAGACCGCTTACATGCATGATTGGCAGGTAGAATTTGTGGAGCTAGTGTTGTCAGGAGCTCCAGTGCATTGGGCACGGCTC